CACCGCTTCTGTGTCTCGCTCAGCTGATCCGAGCTGCCGTTAAATAAATTGGGCGGACGCGTGGTGTGGTGGCGCGGCGCGCCCGGCGGACAGGATTGAAAACGGTGGAATCAGACGGGCGGAAGTCGCAGCGGCTTTGATAGTCTACGGCGCGGACCGTCTACACACATCCTCGGCGTGAATATCATGAAACACGATCTGTCGTTCCGGAAAATGTGGTTATTGCAGTTTAAAATTAGCACACAGAGCGTTGTGACATTACGAACAAGCAATTATGTGATTACTTGACTATAGGGCTGGCTGCATGCAGATTATGTAGGTAAGAGATAAAAAACAAAGTAAGAAGTTTTAAATTAATTTTTTAAACTTATACATTTACCCCTTGAATTAATCATTTTTTAGTAATAATAACTATTATTGAATATACAAAACCCTTTAAGAAATAAAGCCTTGGAAATCTCACAAACATCAAAAACATAATATCGTCGACTACCAGCAAACTAAGACTGTTGAATTTCTCTGTTCTCTCCTACTACCAAGAGAATATCTGTACAAATTCAGATAATATATTATAATAACAAGTGCCCTATAAAAATTTAATTTTAACTCCTATGTTTTTACCAGGCATTCAAGATAAGATCACCAGGAAAGGGAGTTAATTGCCCAATTCAACAGATAACCTAGCAGCATACGATATGTCGGGATGATTTATATTAGGAAAGAATCCTCCATTGCCTTGTTGAAATATTCGACCTACGACCCTGTATTGGACAGGAGTTGTTTGAGCAAGATTCATATATTACGATTTTTGCAGACGCCGCCCCATCCAGCTGCAATTTTCCTGGTCCTACACGCACGTAGCCTTGCGCGGCCGATGGGCGTTGTCTATCGCGTCCTGATGTGCAAACAATCGTTTTTCGATGACGAAGACAGCACCTTTCGCTTCCCGTGGGTTCGGGACCAACAGATTGTGCCCTTAAACGGATGAATCTCGTGGCAGCCATGAGCGTTAATCACCCGCTGGCAAACCCTGCCATCGCGGCCTTACGCTTCAAATAAACGTCATATTTTTCTTCCAGTCCAAAGCTGCCCCTGAACGTTGAC